AAAAAAAAGAAAATATCTCCATAATTTCTAAATATTACTTAAGGGGTCAGTGCTAAACCTAGCTAAGAATTATCATATCAAAGAAACTCTTAGACATATGTATCCAGAACATGTTCATATCAGTATTGTGCATAATACAAAAAAACTGGAAATTAAGTCTATTAATTAGAGTAAGTTGTAGTATATGTATACAATGGAACACTATAATATAGAAATAAAAATGAATCACAAAAATAACAAAAGGCAGGTTCTGAATTATACATAACATGAATCCACTTAAATAAAGAAATAAATAAAACTAAATGATAATCATTCAGAAATATATATGTGATAAAACTATAAAGAAATAAGTGAATAATCCATTTCAGCACAGTGGTTCCCTCCGGAGAGAAGAATATGCAATTGAGGCCAGGCATGGTGGCTCAAGCCTGTAATCCCAGCACTTTGGGAGGCTGAGGGGGGAGAATCACCTGAGGTCCGGAGTTCTAGACCAGCCTAGCCAACATAGCAAAACCCTGTTTCTACTAAAAATACAAAAATTAGCCAGGAATGGTAGCACATGCCTGTAGTCCCAGCTACTCAGGAGGCTGAGGCAGGAGAATTGCTTGAACCCAGGATGGAGAGCTTGCAGTGACCTGAGATCGCGCCACTGTACCCCCAGCCTGAGAGACAGAGCAAGACTCCCTCCTAAAAAAAGAAAAAAAAGAATATGCAATTGAGGAAATACTCACAGGACTTCTGTTTCTTCAGCTCAGTGGTAGACACATTGGTATTTATTATTTTTCTTTAAACTGTACATACTCTACAGTATACAATTTTTTAAAGTTAAAATTGAAACTTTCTAAGTAATATGTTAACAACATGCAGAAGCAGCTACAAAGATGTGTATTAAAAGCAATAATGTAGTGTCTTTCCCTGCCTGGTATCCCGATTGTTTGTAAATGAGCAGAAAAATGAATGAAGCTGCTGATATATAGTGCTAGCCCTGGACCACACCTCTTCAGTATCCTCTTAAAACTTAACTTGTACTCCCCTCATGCTATTTTCTGGTTAAGATGATATCATAAGCCAAGAAAAGACCAAATGAGTATATATCATCTTGCATAATTGAGAAAAACCATATATTCCATATATATACTTTCTAGGTAGCAAATTCTTAAGTTTTCAGGTTTATACCATAATTAAGAGCATATAGCATATATTCTCATTCATTACAATTTTACTAAAAGCTTACTATGTATCAGCCCCAGGGAGTGGAAAAATAAGTAAAATATATTCTTGCTCTTAAAGAAGCTCACCATGCAGGGACAGAAAGGCAGGGAGAGGGAACTGTGAGTAAACAAGTACTACTCAGTACAATTAATACTGCAATAGATTTAAGGAGAAATAAGGAGGTTGCCAATTGAAGATAAGGCACAAGATTTCATAGAGAAGCTACAACTTGTAGAGTTGTGAGGAATTTCCTAAGCAGATTTGGGAAGAAACGCATTCCTCAAAAAGAGACCAACATAATCATAGGACAAAAGCCAGGGAACTAAAAGACGTTATCTAAAACACTGTTAGTAATCTGAAATAAATGAAGAAGGGTAGGGAATGCCTAGAGAGTTTGTGTTTTATCTTATAGACAATACCACAAAGGATTGCAAGCAGTGAATCTGCAATTTTACAAAAGATTGCTTTGGCAACAGGGTAGCCAATGGACTGCAAAGGGTGGTGTGGAGAATCTGGAAAGGGATATAATCAGAGAAAAAAACTGTTATGATAATTCAGGGAAGAGAGGAGAACCTAAGAAGAAGGTGATCACACAGAGAAGAACAGAGAGATCAAATCTCACAGTCTTTTGAATGACAGAATCAAAAACAATAATGATAAAAGGAATAGAGTTAAAAAAAAGATGCCACTGAAATTGAGACACAATGGTTAAAAAGGTAGACAGGAATCAGAATGGCACTACAAAAGTCAAAGACAGCTTTTCAGGAAGGGAGGGGTCAATAATTTGACATAGCAAGCACAAGTGGAATACAACTGATCGCTGGATGTGGCATTTAGGAAATCACTGGTAACCGTCAGCAGTTTCAGTGAAATGGTAGGACAGAAGCAGTCTGACTGAAGCAAACTCAAAAGTGAAGTAGTGCTAAGGAGGATGATTTTTTTCTAGAGAGGTTAAGAGATATGCTTTTAAATGCATGACTTGGACATACTTTTTGGCTGCACTGAAAGGTTGAAAATATGGGAAAGACAAAGAATAACTGGTGGAGAAAGTCTCAGAGTAGATACGAAGGGATGGATAGGATCACACAAGCAGTGAAACTACAGGACAAGAAAAAAAAATCTTTCTTCCTATGAGAAAGGGATATTAAGGCACAAGACTATTAATTCAACAAACATTTATTGAATATTTGCCGTATACCAGTCACTGTACAAAGTGCTAGGGGATACAAATGAATAACTCAGTCCCTGACTTCAAAGAGTTTGCAGCTGGCCAGGCACAGTGGCTCACGCCTGTAATCCCACCAATTTGGGAGGCCGAGGTGGGCGGATCATGAGGTCAAGATGTTGAGACTATCCTGGCCAGCACGGTGAAACCCCGTCTCTACTAAAGTAAATACAAAAAAATTAGCCAGGCGTGGTGGCACCGGCCTGTGGTCCCAGCCACTTGGGGGGCTGAGGTGGAAGAACTGCTTGAACCCAGGAGGCGGAGGTTGAAGTGAGTCAAGATTGCGCCACTACACTTCAGCCTGGTGAGAGAGCAAGACTCCATCTCAAAAAAAAAAAAAAAAGAGTTTGCAGCTTAGTGGGCAAAATACAATAACTGTTATATGTTCTGAATACAAATACACCACTGTGGAAAGGCCAGTATGGTAGTACAGAGGTTAGAGGAAGGGCTGGAATTTCAGGGAGCTTCTGCCTGACACTTTTTCTGGGACACAGATGAAGTTATCTGCCAAGTGTTTTTAGGGGTGGAGGGGTATTAGGCAATGTGTAGGAAGGGAAAAATGTTCAAAACAGCTGCCCAGATAAAACAACAGCAAATTGTATCCAAGATTTGTATGTGCTGGGCACTATAAAAAGTGCTTTTATACATATTTCCTCTTTGATTTTCAAAACAATCCTATTATTTTCATTTTACCAAGAAGATTAAAAACTGAGAGAGACACTTAAGGACTATGGCAAGACTGGAAACTTTTTCATAGTAGCAACAATTTACATAATTGTATCACTTTCTCCTGCTGTGTCTTTTAGACCATGAATAGCAACTAATCCAGCACCCTTACAGGGTTAGAGATGGTACAGCAGAAGGATGAGTGAAGTGAGGAGTTAAAGGAATGGGGAAATCGGAAAGTGATTCAAACAGTTGATCATTGGGATGATGGCTCTGGGAAACAAAGGTAAGGGAGACTTGGGGGAGTAAATGAAGGAATCAAGGAATTTTAGAATATTGAGCAGTAGAAAGAAAATTAGTAAAACACAAAGTAGGATAGGATTTTTAAAATATCATTAATCAAAGAGTTTAAAGTGATGAATGGCCCATAGCATTGAGTTTCTTCAGAAGAATGAGAGTCATTAAATTGGATGAGGTCACATATCTAGTAAATGCTGTTTAAACAAACTCAGATCTGTTTCCAGTTTCAATGTTACTACTCCACAGGTAGGTCTATATGTTACAAACTTTTACCCATCAATATTTCGACTTAAAATTATGAAATTCCTTGTCTATTTAAAAAAGCATGCATAGCAATTTAGCCTTTCCTTAAGTATTTTAAGTTATCATTATTATCAACATACTGAAATATAAGTGCTTTTCTGGATGGATATTCTTCATCTCTTCCTTTGAGGCAGCTTTCAATTTCACACTGTTGTCAACATACCTCTACTACTTCTGATTTGCTAGAACATGAAACATAAATGTTTCCAATAAAAACTGGGTGACAAAACCAAAAAGTTTAACCAAAATACTTATATCATCTAAGGGTGATTTTTATTTCTTTTTGTAGATTAAAGACTGGAGTCATGGCAGGGTTTTTATACTTTGGAGTAGATGAGATAACCCAAAATTACTCAACAATTTGGCTAACTGGGGTTCTACGTATGACTGTATTGCTAATTAACAATGAAATTTACTATCACATAAAACACTACATTAAAAAGTTTTTCTTAATATGAACTGTTAGTCATTCTTTTTCAGCAGATTTGTAGAACACTCACAAGCACTTCTAATGATCATCATTACCTCTTTTTTGGCTTCTTTTTTGGGATCATAATCACTATCATTCCCATCCATTGGATGTGGTTCTTCTACATCATCATCACTGAAACAAAAATTAGTATACTTAATTCCCTTCTTTA